GTAAAGCATAAATTAATTAATTAATCACAAATCCAAATTAGTAATTTAATCTTATCTTATTTTAGACTTAGTTGTAGAATACGTTATATTTTAGTTCATCAATTTAATAATAACGGAATTATTATTATTTAATGTATTTATTGTGACTAAGGTGACTAAAAATCTTTTTAATGAGATAAAATATTATATTTATTGAAGATAAATTCATCTATACCAGCTGCAGTCTTATTATATCGAAACTGTGTAATTACACTAGGTATATCTTAAAAACACTTTAGCACAGATTACATTAAAAATGTAATGTATTGACTGTTTAATGTAATCTCTGACATAAGTACTACCAAGATACGATTGTTATTTGTAAAATAATAAAATTTTAAATAATTTAATCTTTATATGTTTGTAGCCTATATTATTTATGTATACACCTATAGAAACATACTTACTGTGATCGTAGTCATAAAAACGTTTAAACATCTATACATCATCGTAAGCAATACAATTGTTTTTGGTTTGTATGTTCATTGTTAATTTATTATTAATATTTTATTAATAACTGAATTTCTTTGCTACGTCAACTACATTCGTTTGCATCATCTATAATTCTACGAATTCAAATATTATTATATCGTATTATATTTCCGCATAGTCCGTCTGAATTTGACTTATTTTAATAACATAATTCTATTTTCACAATGTAATTAGCTAATATGTTTACACTGGAGTATTATCTATGCTTATTTTGCATTTCGGTAAATTTGGTTGAAATCAAATATGTTTAGCGGTAATTTGGTTTGAATTTCGACATTTAAAAGTGTAGCAATGATTATACGGTAATTATCTGATCGTGGGAAGTGTATTCAAATGTTGCGAAAGAATCATAGTACCGTGATAAAAAAAAAAATCCATACCTATTTAATTATTTACTTATATTTTCTCTATCAGTTAACGGTTCGCTAGTACATACGCGTGTCAAATGACAAGAAAAACTAAGCGCCTGGATGCGTTTATAATACTCTGCAACTGTGTAAAATTGACTACGGATTTATTTTACTTTGGCAATAAAATAATAACTAAACATTTGGTTTTCTATAAATTATTTGACATTAAAGTTTTATTAACATTTGTACATTCCAAGAAAATATTTATTTGAGAAATTAATTTTATTCGTTGGCTATTTATACGTTAGCAATTAAACACAAATTTAAAACATTGAACCCTTAAGACATAAGATTTATATTACAATAAAGGTAATTCTATTATAAAAGAAATAAAGTGCTTATTATAACGCGCAGAGAGGAATAGAAAGTATAATATTATTTCTTATTCATTTTAATTTAGTATAATAAATTTATTTTTACCTTATTATTAGCTTTCAAGTATAAGTTTTTATATTAAAATACTTATACGATATAATAACACCACTTTTACTTATATAAAGTTTAAGCATTTAAAATTAACTGACCTAGTTGTATACTTATATATATTTTATAAGTACATTTATTATCACATTATACTACGAATTTGGTTATTTGTAATTTATAAATAATTTAAAACTTTAAAAATTATTTGTTATTACTATTAATTTAGTATTAAATTTTTAAACATTTTCATATCATAATTTAAAATCTAATTTTAAATTATTTGGCAAACATATATTATATTTCAATTGTCTAGTGTCTTTGAAAAAAAATTTTTTCGAAACCAAAATGTTCATGATTTAAATTATAGTTGTATAGTATTTGAAGGCTGTGCTCATTGTTGTACCTAGAGAATCATTTTTAATATAGTACTTATTTTATGTGTATGGTAAAACCACTTCCTTCTCATTTGTTAGCTTACGTATCTTGGGGCAGTGATATTTGTTTTTTATTTGAAAAAATATTTTTCAATTTTATACAACTTCGTCTATTGTATAATCAATAAAGAGTTAAGTTGATTTTGATAACAAACGTTTCAAAGACTATAATTACAAATTATTTTGACGAGGGGTTAATTAAAAATGCATTATATTTTTTAAATCAATGCAAATAACTTATCTGAAATGTATTATAAACTATATTTAGTACTTTTTACGAGTAGAATTAAAATAAACATTTCCTTTTCCTACAAGTATTTCACCCAAATTTATAACATATTTTTTCATCGTATAGTTATTGGAATTGAGCCACATCAGAGGTCACATATCGCATCTGAAGCTCCAGTAGGTTATTTTTAGCAAATTGACCGACTAGGACAAGCGATGTGTACCATTTGTTAAAAATATAATTGCTCCAAAATTTGCATTAAGGTTTTTCAATATTAAGAAAGAATATCATTATTAATTTTTTGTATGGCATTTTAAATATTATTATTAATTAAAAAAAATGTTTAAAAAAAAATTAACTAATTCATTGTAAGTATAATTTATTGTTATAGTCGTATCAACTATAATTTAATATTCATTAATTTATGCTCAAAATAAATTATATATTTAAGGTAAAATATATTTTTACAAATGTATCAGTGTATAGTTTGTTATTATTTCCTTTTTTTCTTTTTTTTTTTTTTAATTAAGAAAATTAATAATCTATGCTTTTGCACAATAAGATAATAGGCTAAGGTTATATAAAAATATATAACGTATAATAGGATAATTTAAGATAACACATGAAAACTATCAGAGAAGGGAGGCCTATCCAGTGATAGAACTCTTTGTGAAAAGAGTTTATACATTCATGTGTGTACAGTGTATCTACATTGTTATTTTTTTTTTCCATTTTTTAAAAATGTCGATACCATACGGTTTAACCGATGGATCAGATTATCAGGTAGATTGACAGCAGAAAGACGAGAAATTAGAAGATTTTAGTGGGAATGAAGTTTGCTATGTAGATTTAAATAATGTTTTTTTTTTTTTTTGCTAATTGACTTACAGTTTCTGTATTGATTTCGTTATGTTGGAAGTTATTTGAAACATACCAAGGTTCTGAAGTTATGACACGAAGAAAAACGGGTTGAAATGCCTGAATCCCACAAGTTTGAAAAAGTCTCAGAAGGGACTCGTATAAAATTATTTTTGTTGTAATAAACTGTCAGTATTTCCTTATGGGTTTAAAAACATGATAACCGACACGCATTCTTTTCTATTGAACAATGAGATCGAATGATATTTAGAAAAAATGATATTTTTTATTTACCTTTTTAACACACATATATTTAATATTTTATTGTGAAAAGAAGAACATTTGATACTTAAATTGGTGATTTCTTTTTTTTTTTTGGACTATTTTGTTATAATTTAAAATTATACTTTATACTTATTGTGCTCATTGTGCGAATGTATTGTAACATAATTTATTATTGAATATTGTTATTCCCTATTTAAATTATATTCGTATTATGTAGGTAAAATGTATTCATCGTAAATTGGTTTATAAGACACATAAGTCTTGTACATATTTTATTACTTACCGAATAATATTTTGGAGATCGAATGTTTTTTAAGTTCAAAAAATATACTCAATAGATATTTCTTAATTAGCGGTTTCCAAATTATTTTCACCGCGGTAACTTATGTGAACTAGTCATACATGCTTACCAATAACAGTAAAAAAATAAATAAAAATAATATCATTCTTCATCGATATAAGCTATGAATATTAGTTAAATTTATTTTTTAAATTTACATGCATTATGAAATTGGTATATAAATTTATAACTATTTTAAATTAAAAAACGTTATAAATTAGTAAAATTTTCAACATAATAATCAGTATTTCCAGTGTATAATTTTTCAACAATTAAAATTACATTTTACTCAATTTAAAACAAATTAACAATAAAAAAATGTCAATTTATTTATTTTTCTGTGACCCATTATAAAAACCTCCTCGAACCTATTTTGAGTCCCAATCCTGAATGTAGGAACTGCTGTTCGAAATGATTGATCATAACAAAAAATAAAAATAAATATAATTTTCAATTTAAACGATAAAATCAATTTCATAAAAAATAAGTAATGCCTTTGAGTATTTTTTCTGTACACAACAATTATTGAATATTTAAGTTAACATCGTATTTTGTTTTATAAAGTATTTATGGTTTTTTTCTCAAAATAAATATCATCATTAACTTCAATGAAAATTTGATTCCAATTATAAAACGCAATGTTGGTGATGGATTATATTTCTTTACTACGAAATTATATTTGAAATTTTTTTTATTTAATTTCGATAAAAATACGTTCGACTGAGATGTAGGAATATGTATCTGCTCGAATAAAATAATTAATTTATTTGGAGTTGCTTTTTGAATCCATCATTCAAATACCATAGAAATCGTTTGTTTATTGTGATTTAACTATTATTTATTATTTTATATTAATGATATGTCTTTTATTCAAAATCATTAAACCTTATTTTTAACGAAATCAATTTAAATCAAATGTTTCTCGAATGAGATCATAATCGTAGTTTCTATAGATTTAGAACGATAAGGTGCATCCACCATTTGAAGTATAACCTCTCCATGTTTTCAGTTGGCAAGTTTATAGTCAATTTAATAATGAAAAAATGGACATACGGTACTTACATGAAATAATTGTGTTTTTCCTACCTTGTCCGAGTGTAGTTTCGAGTGTTTATATTACTATAAAAGTTTTCTATATAACATTTTTAGTAATTGCAATTTTAAATTCATCTTAATAAAGTTAATTTATTGCATATTTAGCAATGCAGTGTTATTATACATATATTAAGGAAATATTACAGTATAAAATCATCATGTTGATTTTGTATGTTTGTTTTATCCATCGAAATATTATTTGAAAAATACTAACTTTGCACTGGTACGACATGTACGTATTCTATGACAATGATGGGTTAGTTTGAATTTTTCGGTTTTATTCAATAGATACATAACTAAATATAGGACAGTAATAGTTATGCGTTAAATAGTGAAAATTGAATAAGAACAATTATAAGTATAACTGGCTAAAAATTTGATTTATTTTATTTCAGAATTACCCATGGTGTTATTTTCAAATGATCCTTTCCATCTTATAATTTGGAATGTTCCCTAACGCTGAAGATAATGGAGCGTTGCATTAACATGACTGAAAATACTGTTTAACAATAAGAAAACGAAGTCCTGAAGTATAAGAAAATACAATATGAAGACAATTAGGATTTTAAGTAAGTACTTATTATACTTTTTACTACTAGTTTATATTTTCTAAAATACAGTGGACGTACGTGACAAACAATAATATACGTTCCAAAATGAACATTAGTTCATAATGCTTCATAAAAAGTACAGATATTATGCGCTGAACGATTTATATATTCCCAGTGAATTATAATACATTTTAATGGGAAATATTTTTATAATGTAAAGGTATTAAAAACGCTATAAAAAGATTGTTTAAAATAGGACCCCTAATCGTTGAATATTAAATAGATGTGTTACAATAACATTACCGGAGTTTTATATCGAATGTATTTAAATTATATCATGTAAAATATATAAATGTAATTCATAGTCAAAAATAATTGAAAATTATTAAACGGATAAACTATTTGCTACATACATAATATAGAAGTTTGAGTGTAAAATACATTTTATCGTGATCATCATGTTTTTTCAAATCATTTACGGGTGAAAATACGTTGGTCCATCTTTTATATATTTATAGCATAAGTTAGTATAATATGTATATTATGAATAGTTTTAGTTACGGCTCGGAGATTGTATTTTATAAAAATACTTTTGCAGTCCTTTGACAATTTGAATGTAGAAAGTGCAATTACATTTTTCATTTTTGATAACATATTAAATTTGAATACTTCCATCATTTAGTTTTCTCCACTTTCTTCTCTGTCCTCCCTACTGGCCAAGGACATGGTTCATAGAGCTGATGCGGTTAATCAATAGGGACCGTGATAATAACAATAATAATAGTAATATAATAGCTAACGTTGCCCGAGAATAGATTTCCTTATTTCCTGATGATTTTCATGAATTATAGTGTAACGCCCGAGTTTTCCTTCTTGTATGAAAAATCATGGATAGGCCTAGCTGCGTAAGCTGGCGTAAACCAACCATTGCAATTGAAAAAAAAAATTATGCCATGTTTAATTATATATAATCAACCGAAAACTTTTCAATTTTCATTATTTTTTATGTCTACTTATTTACAGTTATTTTGTATAGGGTTATAAAATATTTATTTGTAACTCACGTATCAAAAAAATATTTATAGATTATAATTATATTACTGACAAAATATTCTAACTTCATTTTTTTAAAAGATGACGGCAGCTTATTTGATTGAAAGTTAATAGGTTTATAATTTTATTTCGATTTTTTTTTATATTTTATTCTTCTAACGACCTATAAGACTTTTTTAAAAATAAAAAAAAATTGTTTCCTGTAAAATGTATTATTATTTGGATGAAATATCAAATATGTCCAAGTTGAATGTTTTTTCTACAAAACCCAAATATTTACAGTTATTTCATGTACACACTATAAATTGTTTAGTATCAATTATTTTAACCGATTAATATATTACACGAAAACAATATTTTTCGACAACAAGAACAATAAGATTTAAACGGAATACCTGAAAAAATAGTGGTTTTTCCTCGTCAACGAAATCAAATCTAATTTGTCAATACATATTTCTTTATTTATAGTTCATCAAATTAAGGAGTTGGGTTTTTTTTTACTTGCATTTTATTTTATTGTTATATTAGGGATGGTCCTTTGATGTAACGCTTTATAAATAGTTTTGAAAAGTTTAACAAATCGTTTAATATTTAACGCAACAACTATGTATAGTATATCCTAAGTAGTGCGATTTAGTTATGTATTAGTTTTAAGTTACCGCTAAAATAAAATATATCCCATAAGGTTTTGTAATATCATGTCGATCATACTGGATACGATATGTGTAGGCCTGCGGCGGTGTACGTCTCGACTGCAGTACACCTTCAATGTTACAAATAATGCGATTACACGTGCAACATAGGTACTATAATATAAAATATATAGACAATAAATGAGTCCAACGGGGACAGCAGTCAAATCAAACACCGTCGATGATCTTGATTATGTTGTTTTGCCGCAGCTGATGCATGTGTACATTGAGACAAATAAAATAAAAAAAAAACATAATTCTTCTACCGCTTCGGAACCTACGGATGTCCTTCACAGTCCACTGGCTACCGATGACACAAATCGATTGCCGTTTTCTTTTTTTCTTTTATTACCGTACACTGAAAATAGAAGAAAAAACTAGTACAATATTCCCTCTTTGTGCGCTTCTTACATGCACCTACCAAGACCGCGTGCCCGGTGAACCGTGTAAGGAAAAACGATTACCGCACGGCAGCGGTTGGTATGACCAAAAACGGTTTTCCCCGCACCAACCATGTACATGGTCTTAATATTGTAATGCTTACCTTTGCCTCCTCTGCTACGTCCGTCGGTCGGAATCTGTTCGAAAAATCATTCGCTCGCAGTGGACGAACCCGTTGATCTCGTGAAATCGCAAATTCGACACGAACACTCTTATCATATCACACCAAACGTTATGTAGCGTACCCGTTCGTTGTGTGTGTATCTATTATACATTAATCAATTGGTTTTGTTCGGAAAATCAATCGGTTAAAATTATTTTATTTTTTTTTTTGTTTTCCAAGACGCGTCACGCGCATAGTAATAATACCAAAAACTATACTATGTATTATATTATTATTATTATTATTATTAATTCTACTACTACTATTACTACTGTTTTGTATGGGAATACCGTGACAAATGAATTGCGTGTTACAATATATATTTGGATTGTCGGCTGGCTTTTTCTTTTTTCATGAATATAATATTTTACCGATTGTTATTAAACTCTCCTGTTTTGTCGTCGTAGTAGCATATGTACGTGCAATTATTACATGGAAAATATCATCAATAAATTCAATAAAACTTTCCCGTGTTACGTAGTAATACTCTACAAGTGGTACGTAAAAATAACCCGTCTACGTCGACAAAAGTAACTCGTCAACTCTACGCGCGACAAACACATTAGAATACGCAATCACACTAGCCAGTTATATCTATATTTGTAACACCTAACAAACTCAATAACGACCACGAACATGACGTGTACCAATATCGGATCCATTATTTTCCGTTCGTTTTCATTTTTATTTTTTTTTACTTACTATTATTATATTAAATGTATATGTAAATATAACGACTTCTTGCCTTATTTAGTTCTTCAATATGGTGCAATAATTGGAAGAGTTAAAAAATGAAAAATCGTCCGCGAGTGTAAAATACATACATTTGTCCGAATTAAAACGAATGATGTAGTTTCTGTTTAAAAAAAAAAAAGAAAAAAGTCGTTCAAAACCAATCCATCGGTTCCATATACATTATCTTCTGCCTAATGGTGGTATAGCGACATTAACATAAATATTATGTTGTTGTCATCATTAAATTATTGTATACAAACTGCGATTTAAAAACTAAAGACACAGTTGCAATAATATAGAGGAGACGACTATCAAATGTACTACTCATACCTTTCTGACGGAGAAGATACTGAATTATTTAATATGCAATTGGATACCATATTGGAGTATTAAATGACGAATTCGAATTCAATATTCAATGTCACGTTTATAGAAAAAAATTTTTATTTATGTACATAGATTCCTTACTTGTGTATGTTATTTATCGTGTGACTTCCAGTATTATATGCATTTTAATAAGTATGTATTTTTTTCGGTTTATGTGATGCTCGCCAATCACACATCATCTACACTTAACTACTTAAATTGACGTAATTACTACTCTAAATAATAATATTTTGATGTATAAAAACCATAATATTTCAGCAATGTCAACGTATATATGGGAATCTGACTCATTTTTCCATCAGGATCAATTTGTATTAAAAATGATTTAGTACGTTGATATCAAAATCAATAATAGTTTCAATAAATATATATGTATAGTATATGTAACATTTTAAATTAATAAATATTAACATTTCTAATACATTATTTAATAAATCATTAAAAATTATAATGCCTTTAGATGGTTACACATTACACGTTTTTGAAGCGCATTTTATCGAAGTAATAAAATAAAATATTTATTTTCCTATGAATTCAAGTAATTTGATATTTTCAATAATCCAATAATAGGTATTCTCCAGTTATATATGTGTACATTTTCCGGTAGACTGTATTCCACTGTAAGAATAAGAATTATATGTTTTATTTTAATTATGTTTATTAAGTGTTATATTCATTGTACGAATTCGATCATAAAAATAAATATTATTTCAACATATATTTTAACTTTTTATTTACACATGTAGGTATATCTGTATTTATTTTTAAAAGACTATATTTTTATTTAAATCATAAGAATATGAAATCATTGTCTTGTGTTAATTTTTAATCAGGTCATTGGTAATGACTAATGGGAGTCGTGTGTAAGTTTTAAATATATGATTAGTTTAGATCATTATAATATATTGGTTCACATAAATTATATTTAAAAAAATATTTATATTGTTATACATTTTTATGATTATTATTAGTCAATAACAATTTACCCGTATCGCAATTAAGAATTAGTTAAACCGTACCTTATTACTGTATTATTTAAAACAAAACAAAGTTAAAAACAATGAAAGAACTCGTGGAAAAAAATGTTGAATATGATCGTATATTTACTATGGTCATTATTACGCCCACTTAACTCGAGAGCTCCTGTATTGCTGTTTATGAATAGTAATCATTACAAACGTTATGACATTTATGACATTACACATGCAAATTGAATGATTACAAAATCGTCGGTGTTTCATATTGTTGAAAATCGTCCCAATTCAATTGAAAGACCCATAGATGTGCGCAAACCTCTTTTTCAGGGTATGCAAAAGGCTGCCACTGCCTACCCCCTTCCACAACTGAAAGTTAATTTAAGCATTCGAAATTCTGATCTTAATAACTATTTAATTTAAAATTTTAATTTTTTTTTTCTGAAAAAAATGACTGAATAGCCATTTCTTATAACTGTCTACATAATTAAAATTTAAAATAAATTACGAAAAAAAAAAATTAAATACATAACATTTGAAATGGTTTGAGTAATACGTTTAAATAGGATAAATAAATATAAACGTGATTATATACTTAAATGAAAAACAAAATAAATTTGATAAATAATCAAAATTAATCATAAAACGATTCTGCGTACAGTTGAGTTCTTAATATAACCTAATAATGTTTTCGCGATTTGAATTTAAAGCCATTTCTTGTTCTGTAGTTGATAGCTATTTAATCTCGCTTGAATTATTGTACTTCTTAATTTCATTAACACATAAAATCGTTATTCTAGCATATGATTTGTGTTTCAAAAATAAATTAAACTGTCTGGGACTGAGTATAAAAATATAATGAAAATCATAATGTAATAAAAAATCACATAATATACATAAGACCAAATATGTCATAATTTTTATTTATTTTTTGTAATTTTAGAAAGAAGGCTTTATGTTAAGGGTATGCAGTTGCCTACCCTACATACCCCCTGCGCACGCCTATGGAAAGACCTTAAATTGTTTGCAAGAAGCAAAAACCACAATTATATAGATAAAGTCGCTTTGAATTATGTTGCGTACAACAGTACCAATGGTACCACAATGGTGGTTATGTAGCAACCACAAACTAAATAAATTTGACGGGAAATTTTAATAAATATGTTTGGGAATTTATTACTTTTGATAATATACATTAAATTTGAAATGGTAGTAGATTGAAAGTGGTACATGAAGATTACTTAAATTACTGGTTATGCTCACAGGGTCATTAAAAGAAATTATTTATTTCCAAAATAATCTAAGCTTTTTTAGGTCCCTCTTTATTCATAAGTTATCCCTGCCATATTTGTATGATGTATGACAACTACAGTAGTGGTGACTTCGTAAGGCTAATGTTTTAGCTTCAAATCATTGTCTTTGGTATTTTTTAATACTTTTGTATGCAACGCTATTTACTTAATTTGTAATTTTTACTACAATAATTTACAATTATATACCAGTAAATATGAATACCAAATAATATGCCATTCAAAGTTAAAAACCAAGTTAAATATCGTTAAAATAAATTTCTATCGTTATGTAAACTTTTGAAAATGAGACATGTTTCTTTGTTTAGTTTTTTATTCAGCACCCATAAAACATTTTAAAATAATGCGAATTATTGTATTTTTTTATCGCAAATATGATATCAACTTATAAACCAAACAATGTATATCCCATAAAACAATATTTGGTTTATGTTTGAGTTATGATTGAATTATGGTTATTATAATTATTATGATACAATCAATATCAATTTTACTAATGAAAATCCAAACTGAATATACTAAATGTTAGTAAATGATTGAAAGTTATTTTTAAATTGTTATTGTATCATCAAAATTAGAATTAACATTTCTATTTATTTTTTTTTTTTTTTTACGAATATCTTTTAGATTAAATAATATTAGGTAAAGAAAGTATTATTGTTTTATATAATAAGCAAATGAAAAATTAATTGGATTATCATAAGTACTATACTCTACTACTGATTACAATGCAGTGTTAATTAATTTAATTGAAATTTTTAAGATTAATATTTAGACAATCATTATTCAAACATAAAAAAACGTCATTAACATATATAAATATTTTGTTTCTTATTAATTTAATTTTTTTATATAGAAGTCGTTATTTTATTTTTAACGCTCCACATAATAAACATATTTAATGGTAAACGAACAGGAACAATTTTAAATTGAAATAAAATATAAGTTAACGATCAGTAGGTATATGGTATACATTATAATATTAAAATAGGTATGATTACTTATTAATTGTATTTCACTAATGGAACCAATAATCATTAAACATTTACGCATACATAATTACATATATATTTTTATGAATAAATCAACGTTCAATAACAGTGTTACCAATTATTATTTTATTTTGTTGAAAATCCACAATTTTTATAACAAATCCGTTTAATAATATGATCACTTAATGTTTGGTACTGTGTTTTATTTTTTATTTTTCGTAACCTATTTCCTATTACTACCGACTATTTAAGTTTTTAGTGAGTAATGACTTATGAACTTTGTTGCAAACAAATTATCTTATATTCGTTCAACTCACGGTATTTAAATTTTCTCGTTATAATTGTTTTTGTTTATTTGCTACTTTGTAGCTAACCGTAGTTCAATGTTAATTTATGTGATATTTAACTATAATACAATTGTACTATGTTTCAGTGTTTATTGTTGTTGGTATGTCTGTCTTCGAGGTTGAGGGGACTACCAGCAGACCAATAGCGAGTTGTAAAAACTCTAAAGAAAAAGGGTATTTGGTAGCTAACTGTCACGGTGATCAAGGACAAAAGCTTGAATCAATACCTGGCAACATTATGCCGGAAGTTCAGGTTTGTTAAATGTTTTAATAGAAATAATAATTTATAACTAAATTGGACGGTTGAAATTTGACTGATATCCAATAAACAAATGCACCACAGCCAATTGTATAAAATTAATGATAGTTTTCGATTTTTTTTTTCTCGTTTAAATACGATCGATAGAGATCCATTCGTACTAATTTACCAAATTACTTTTAAGTAAACAACTTGACTGGAAAAAATGAATTATACATGCGTTTCTTATTAATGTTATTAGAATAATTTGGGCATCTGTTACACTTTAGTTTTATATTCTGCGAGAAAATAAATGTTCGTATATTATAAAATTGAGCTAAAAATAAAACTCGATCAATTTCGATTCTTAAATAACATGATAGGTATATGCATTTGTGCTATAATAGATCTCCGTAAAGCATTTTACAGTCGATATTTGAATAATTTAATTCATCTTTTCTTTTTTTTTTTTATTATGTATAAAGGTCGCGTCCCACACTCTTTATTTTATGACGAGTAGAAATTGGACACGCATTTTGGCTATTATACACGTCGTATATTTTGTTAATGTGTATTCATCGGCTCCAGGACATAAAAATAAACTCTCATGATGCCCTCCTACTCGTATATCAGGCTTGATTTTTATTTTTAGTATATAGGGAAAAAAATATACGCAAAATGGCTATTTTTTCTCGTGACATGTACAATAAACAATAGGACAATAATTATACTCGACTTGTTAATGAAATTAGTTGGTATTCATGTACCCACGTTTTTTTTCTTTTCTTTCGAGAGCACCCCGGTGGCCGGGAAATCATCGATGATTCATTGAACAAAAAATGTCATTATCGTCCAAAAATCTACCTATATTTATTTTCAACGTGTTTTAAAAAAATATTTTACTATATCATAAACATAATTTATATAATATACACTGATGAAATTGTGCGTGAATATCTCGAAAATTAACATGTATTAAAATAATATTTTGTACGCATGTAGTATAATTCATGTGTCATTTATATGATGCCGTGCATGAATACGGCAATTTTCTGCCAATTTTATGAAATCGGTAATTTCATAAGTTCAACGTAATATATTCATCACATATTTCATGAAATTACCGAAATAAATTTAATCCACTTGGTGTAATATTCATATTTTATAATATTCCAACATGACCTATACATTGATCCAACATATTGCTTGTGTTTAAAATCGTAATAAAAAAATAATAAAAACCGTTTGAAATAATGAATTTTTTAATAAGTTAAATTACATCTTAGGACCATATATCAATGTGTGATAAGTAAATCCATGATAGAAATATGTGCGTTTTGCTAAAATCTATTTTTATTTCAGTATAACTCTGAAAACGTATTTATTTAAATTCCTATAATACAATATACTCTAATCAGTTAAAAGCTATTGTTACGTTTAAATAGGATATTTTAAGTTGAATCATATTGAAGGAACATAATTTAGATGCAGTAGAGAATGGAATCGTTTTACCTGCAATTCGTTGATAAACTTGTAGAGGTCACATGATTGTATTATCTTGTCAGTTTATAATTTTTACGTAATTACGCTGATAGCAACACCTATATCAACAGTTAAAACTAGAAATTGGAAGTTAAACACGCATGTGCGCTGTTTAGTGTTTTGGTAATGTTATATTCTTTATTCAAAATGTATATTAAAAATAATAAGTACAACTTAAAATGATCCTATTGTTTTCTTATTCGCCTATATTTATCCAATCCACATTGACGTTTCAACGTTATCGACGAACGTATCTTTAAATAATTTATATGCAAACGAGCGCAGTGTTCTACACAGCGTATTCTAATGGCGTATCCTTTGGGGGTCAGAACCCCCCAAATCTGAGATGGTAAATTAACTTTTACGTGAACACGGTTTTTTCTTTAACATTTTTATATTTTAGAATTTTGACTTTGAAATCATAAGTTTTTTTTTAATAGTTTGTATAAACACTATACACGTATTATACACACGCTGCACACACACACACACACACACACACACAAAAGCCGTAATATTATGATTATATTTAGATACTTTACTACTACTTTGATAATTTTTTCTTGGGAACATATTATTTAGGTTTTCTACAACGGTTGATTCTAAATCGGTCGTCTGGTCCCGATAACTGAGATAAAAGCTATGTCATTGTCTGTATTCAAAGTTTATTTTGGGTATACCTATTGCATTCGTGGCTCGCCGATCATTTAACACAAGCACCTTTTATTGTGTGGAACTAATAGTTAATAGTTGGTCGTTGCCCGTTAGTGTCTTACTGTTTTACTTACAACTCGTTTATTCGTTTATATTTAACATTGTATACATTATATTTGTTTTATTTTAATTTGACTTCATTCTAAGACGTCTAAACATTCCATTATGGTAAGATATTTTTAAAATTTGATTTTTAGTTTACCTAAGTGATTGGACAGAAAATATTCTAATATCTAATATTTATGTTCCTATATTAGTTTCTAATTCCTAAATTGTTATTATTATTATTATTATTTATTATTATAGGCAAATTCTCTAACAAATAGACTAGAAAAACCTGAGTCAAAAAAACTAATGTCAACCACACTTAAAAATACCGAGATCATTACAAATAGTAGTCAAAATAATCGTGATAAGATTAAATATATATAAATATGCTGAATCCCCCCCCCCATAAAGTTCCTGGCTACGCCACTGGCGTGTTCACTATAGACGTAATTGAATGGCATAAATGTTACATATGCATAAAATCGGTGACGACTCAAAAAATATTCTTCAACAAAACAGTCTCCAGCAACGTTTTTCAAGCCTGTCCTAGAGTGTAATAGTTATAATCAGGGTTGGGATTTTATAGCATTTGTATATTTCTTATGAGATGCTTACAAAATTGCAGAGTAAGCCAAAAATGTGTTTCGTGATACAGAGAACTCAAATAAATAATTGTATTTTGCTTTTTTTGCATATTTTGCATTTTTTAGTTTTTAGTGCTTTTTTTGGATTTTTAGAGACTTTTACATTTTACCTGTATTTTAATCAAAATCGGGTATATTTTATGAAATTGTATTTTAGTAAACGTGTTTTTTGATTTTTATCAATCGAATTTTCAAGTAAATTATAGATGTTTAGATTAAGTAAATAGACCGATTACGCTGATGCAACGCTATACAATTACAGCGATAATATATAGGTAGGTATAATATAATATTACGATACTTTCGTTTTAGTTATTTGATTCTAATTTTTGTTATCTGCTGATCTTATTTGTTTTTTTTTTTTTTTTTTGTGGATTACTACTAAATCTAATAATTGCCGATTATCAACAAACGAGTGTAGAATTCGTTTTAACAGTCCACATTTGTCTCGTGTGCTCGTACAAAAATATTAAATAATACATTTCCTTCTATTTTTTTGGTTGCATATTTTGTTGTTTTTATTGCATATTTTTAGAGCTTATTTAGCAATGTTTCAGGTAATTTTATAGCGCATATTTATGCAATTTTAAGTGCTATAAATTCCCAACCCTGGTTATAATAATCGGTCTGCAAATATACTAGATCCGAACGCGATAAGGATGTATAGTCGGTTGAAGTGTTAAATAACATATTTTCCCTATAAAAATCCTGTCGTGCCGTCCAATCGTCCACCGATTTTGGTCATCACTAATATTTTAGCTTCGATGAAAAGTACATTTTTAACGTCAAGGTTGACCACTAATTTTTTTCTAATAATTTATGATAATAATTAAATAAATAAATACTTATATAATATATACACGAATAATACTTATTGAGTTTTAACCTAATATCAGTATTTAAAAAAGTTAAAAATATCAAATTAGTTATTAATTATTATAAAAATTACACCCACTAAAATTTTACGCCCGGGGAGCATATTAATATACCATACATTGCTACACCGGTCGTTTCTGATTGCCTCATTTCAAATAGCGCGCTATTATAGTATTATCAATTAATCAATTATCGTAAATATTGTATTAGTATTAGAATCACAGTTGTTATTATTATTTATTTATTATTTTTTTTTTTTTTTTTGATATTATTATTTAGTTTGGAAATATAGCATAATAATATATACATTTTTAAAATATTTTTATATTGAAACTAGTAGAAAACATTTACATTATATTTATTATAATGCTTTTATATTTTATAGGTACTTAAAATAAATAATTTAATATACATTTTAATACTATGTCATAATAACAAATACTTGTACCATTGATTATAAACACATAAAATAGTATTTATAATCAATGCTTGTACTGATGAATTCATAGGTAAGTACTAATGAACAAGTAATTTTTTTTTTCCATTTGGTGTAGTTGATCGTGAGTTTCATTTTCAATGGTTAATTTTTTCATATTCAGCAACCCAATTATTACAATCTACTAAATTTGCTATACTTGATCTACATTTCATAAAGTTTTAAATTGTTTCTATAATGTGACATTAGTGTAATTTAATGGTAAAATCATGTTAACTTTGTTTAACTTAACTATACTTTCAAATTAACTAATAATTTACTTTATCACGAGTTGAATTTCAATTTTCAATACTATGATACTACAATATTATGATAAATTTCAATATTCAATTATTATATAAATACATAGACCTTACACTAGTAAAGGTCTATGTATAAATTATTGATGGGCGTAATCGAGATATCTCGATTATCAAAATAAAAATTCGATTATATACCCGAGAGATTATTTCGAGTGGATATCTCGTTTATTTTAAAAGCAATGAATTCTTGATCTCGAAATGTGTATCGAATGGAAAAATATTTCGAATGATTTTCATGGAACGATGGAGTGAGAGAGGAATACTATTTTAAATCTTCATAATCGAATAAGTAAATACTAGTTGTTCACTTTGAGTCTTTGTATTTTCGACTCGTGCTATTCGTGGGACTGGTTGTTGGACAAATATTGATGGGCATACGGTTATTCTTAGTTATTTATAATTAACTATAGCTATAATTTTTGAATTACTCAACTACAAAACAACAAAAATTTTTCAGAACGTTTATAAATAAAATTATATTATATTTATATTTCAATTGAACATTTCGAATGATTATTTCGAGACATTTTGTGATTATAAAAATGTCTCAATTACTAATTTTTCGATTATTGAAATCATTCGATTATGCCCATCACTAATCACGTATCTCAATTATTAATATTTTGAATGATTATTTCGAGACATCTCTCGTTTATAAAAATGTCTCGAATACTAATAATTCGATTATTGAAATCATTCGATTATGCCTATCACTAGTATAAATATAATATTCCTATTATTAATAACTGTTGTGATTCTAATACTAATACAATATTATAATAATTGATTAATTGATAATAGCGCGCTATTTGAAATGAGCCAATCAAAAACGACCGGTCGTGTAGCAATATATGGTATGTCAATATGCACTAGGAGATGAATCCCCGTCTTCCACCCCTAGTTCCGCCTTTAACTATAGCACAATATAAATAACATCCTCACCGTCTTTTTTTTTTTTTAGTTGTTGAAGCTACAGGACAACCGTATTTCCAAGCTGACCAACAATAGCTTCGTCATTTACCCGAAAATTAAAGAGCTGCTGCTGTCGGACAACGTGGTGCACACCATCGAGTCCAGCGCGCTGACGGTGCTCGACGAGCTGGAGCTGCTGGACCTGTCAGGCAACGCACTGCAGGAAGCGCCGGTCGGGCTGCCTGCGTCGCTGATACATTTGAACCTAAACAAGAACCCGGTGAAGCACATGGAAAGGCTGTCGCGCGCCGTCGGGCTGCAGGTGCTGAAGCTGAGCAACTGCGACCTGGCCCAGTACCCGGCGCTGGGCGTGATGCCCAATCTGGTCGAGCTCGACGTGTCCAACAACGAGCTGATGGACGACCTGGACCCGGCCAAACTGGCCGCCACGTGTCGGCTGACCCGGCTCGACGTGACCGGCTGCACCGCGCTGTTCCAGCTGCCGGAGTCCCGGTGCCGGTGCCTGCGCGTCGTCGAGTGGACGCACACGTACAAGATCCGCGTGGTGGGCATGCCACCGTGCCCGGCCGCGGACGACGGCGGCGGGGACGACGCGGACAACTGCACCGCGACCTCGGCCATGGACGACGAGGCACGGGCCGTTTTCAAGAACTGCATGGTCGAGTGGGAGCACCGGAACACGCCATACTGGGCCATCGGCCTGGGGCTGGTGATCGCGTTGGTCGTGTTGCTGTCGCTGTGCGTGTGCTTGCGCCGGCGGAACCGACGTCGGCACACGGACAAGGTGCAGAGTGTGCCGGCCCCCGACACCAAAGAAACCATCGATCCGACCACGACCGGCAACAACAAATCCGAGCCTGCCGCGCTCCTGTCATCCCCATGACCACCGCGTGCTCCGCTCCGTCCAGTTTGATCATTTTTAATCGTTTTTTCGCCTCCTCCGAACATGATGTATAATGAAGAAAACATACTTTTGATCTACCCCTCTTCCCCGTCACCACCCACCCGCTGATATAATATTATAACTATTATTATTATTATTATTATTATTATTATTATTATTATTATACGCCTCGTGGGCTGTCCGCGTTTTTATTTGCATTATTTTTAATACTATTATTATTATTTTTGTTATGTTTTATCATATTTTTGCGGAAGTGTGTGTATATTATACGCGCGCGCAGCGTATCCGCACGGCGTATTTACTAATGTTAACATATTATGTCACGAGATCTTATTTTATAAACTTTTTTTTTTTTTATGATCTCTTTAAACCAGGAGGTTTTTCCGATCCCTTCGGGAGCAAATGAATATAACATTAAAGTATACATTATCTTGAAATGGTTAAAATTAAAAAAAAAAAATTATTTCCGTAAAATAAAATCATCGGTCTAACGAGTTCCTCAGAATGAGATTTTTATTGGTTTTTTTTTTCGTATAGCCTTTGATCGTATATGTGTTACTATAATTAGTTTTTAAGGAAACATCGTGTTTTTTATAATGTTCACTTATCGCTGTAAACGAAGAGGTGACTTAGTAGCTTGCACAATCGAATATGTCGTCGCGTCCGAACGTCTTCACTTTAAATGCGTGTTGTTTGTAAAGCTGCCAATGACCTTCTGTTGAATCCCGGCGTTTGTACTTACTCATAATATTACACAGACATATTTATTATATAAGTTAGTCACTACTAGACACTATATCCGATATTTTTGTATTCATATTTTATAACAATTATATAATTATTAATCTTATACACAAGAAAAATAAACGGCAAGTAATATGTAATTATACATAATTATATAAAAAAAAAAAATTCAGTATTTGTTAGTTAGAGTATAAGTTTACGTACATACCTTTTGTTTTTATTTGTATATTTTATTGTTTTGATTTTATTCCACGCGAACAAAATATTATACTGGTAATTTTTATTATTATTATTTTTTTTTTTTTTGTTAATGTGTTGTATAATTAAATTTTCGAAGCTTTATATATTATATCGTTCGATTGATTTTTTTTCTCTAAATGGTTATCACTGATTTTGTTTCGCTTGTTATTGGAACGAAGAAATATAATACTCGAAAGTGAAACAATAGCTTAGTTTTAATGATATGAAGACCTACCTACCTATGCACACATCGTTGACCCGAGTGGACGTGTATGTTTCGTAATTACTACACAGTATTTTTCATTAATCGCATTTTCGGTGGACTTTAACCTGTGATGTAATGTATTCTATTTTATAACATAGATGGGTAATCCATAAATCGCGTAACGCACATTAAGGAGAAGGTTATCGCTTACGGTTTACTGTTACCTTTTAATTTTGGAAAATCGTTTTCAGAAAAATGCTCATCCATAGTGTTCGAACCACGTGTAATTTCTATTCTCATACGAATGTGGACGAATCATATACACATGCGTGTAATGCATTCAAGTGGGAAACTGTTCCGTTTCTACCGTGATGTAACGCGGTCGGTGGTGATCAGTTAGATATGTGATATTCAGAGAAGGCTTTCCAATCCTATTGAATGTATTAAACCGTAGCTTGGGACCGTTTTTGGTTTTTGGAATCTTAATATTACAAATGAATGCAAATCGATTTATTTTGGTTATTAATGTTCAACATATATTTGTATGTATTCGAACATTGGACATGAAGTTGTAGCTGTATCACGATAAGACAAAGTTCAAGTACTTCACCGGTACTCATGAAGAACTGTCGTCTCTTACACATTCGACATTGGCCATAGGCCTTACAATAGTGATTTATGACCTAATGGGAACGTAGCGTCTACTCAGCAAATATAAATATTATGTGTGTAAACTAATGATGTGTAACAATCGTTATAACGTGAATTTTTTTTTTGTGTGCCCGTGTATAAGATTTCAACCAGAAGGAGTACTCCGATCGCAATTAAAATATAAAAACAAACGAAGTTACAGTTGGTACCTTTGGAATGTCATGTTTTGAATTTCTCGACAATTTTCCAAATGATTGCAAAAAAAATGCATGCAATTTTAAATTTCAACCGAAAAAATATCCTCATTAGTAAAGCTCGGATGTTAATGCATATTTTTTTCAAGCAACCAGAATTATACCCTAATATGATATAAATTCGATTCATGAAATCTTGATTGCAAATATGCAAACTTATTTTACGTATTTGACATTTTTGAGCATATAAATGCATATAACAATTGATTCTAGATTAAGTAGCATATATTTTATAAATAATAAGTATAATATTAAAAATTGTCCATATTGTTATAAATTATCAATCATTTCCGTTGATTGTGTTATTTTCAGTCTACAAAAACTACTTGTCGAACAAGGTGTATTTGTGTTGAGGTCATGGGGGGGGGGGGGGGGAAACAAATTTTTCTTCAATACAAACTTAAAAATAATTTACAGTTTATTACTGGGATTTATCCAAGGGGGTGAGGTGTTTCGGGTCCGGACTCCCCATTGAAATTTCTACATACTCAATGGTTTAATAGTAAATAGTATATACTATATAGTGTATTTTAATTTCCTATTATCTTCAATATACAGAGTGTACAGATTTTATAATATACCTATAATGTATAAACCATGTTCAATTTATACTGATTTTTTAATATTATTTATTACTATTAATTAAATAATGTATTTTTTTATAACATTTTACTACCAAATAAAAATTGATTTCAAATTATATTAAACTATATTAAATTAAGTATTAATAATAACAACACAAATAGTTCTTATTTAAGATTGTACTTTCAGTCTGAATCCTGTATAAAAAAAACAACAAATAATCATAGTAGTAATAGTACTTAATAATTATTTTTTAAAAACTTTAAAAAACAATTATGATAGGTAACTTAATTTAACAAATATCTAAGTAAAAAACATTAGGTTGATAAGTAGTCAAATAACAAATTCCAAAATTCTTTTTTTTTTATTTTGGCAAATTTGTTGATTGTTTCATCAATGGATACAATATTATTTTTATGCCCATGCAGCAAAGCTAAACCTGTTAGTTTATGATGGCCTATTCTTGATCTTAACCATGTATTCAATTTACAAGAATATATTTTTGGCCAATATTTGCAAGTTAAAGAATATGGAAACAGATATTGTCAGTTATTATGATTATTATTTGGATTAAGGGCTTCTAGCTATATAAAATACATTAATATGCATACATTTGTGCACAAAATAATGACTAAATACCTATGCACAACAAAAAGTACCAGATATTATGTTGTAAAAAAAAAAATAGGCGATTAAAATTATTAAGGACTTAAATAGCTCTAATAAATACAAAAATATAGAATATGCATTAATGTACCAAAAAATGACTAACTAGTAAATATGTGGTAAAAAAAGGGTTACTTTAAATTACTTTTTACTATCTGATAAATACCTCGGTTATGGTTGCAAATGTCTATAACCGTAGCAATATCCGTGGAAGATAATACCACTATTTGTTCCACAACCAAAAATGTTATGATATAAAAAGATAAACAAAAATTGATACCCATGATCAAATTAACATATTATTGAATTTATTATCATATTATAATGATAGACTAGTAATTTATGTTCTTAATTATTTATATAATACATTTTTTAAATAAATCAATGTATTATATTTTTAAAAAAAAGAGCCATGGGTGGGCGAATGCCCCCTCCACCTTCCCCTAAAATACGCCCATGTTGTCGGATAGTCGAAAGTCCTTCAAGTTTGAAAATATCAGCAAAATTTTTATTGTACAGAGTAATCATTATAATCCTGATACTTAAAGTGCCTAACTTATGTAAAATTTAACTGTAATAGATCGAAAACTAATTAACATGTTTTTTCATACTTATAAGCTGTGTTTTTTGTAAAAAAGTATTTTAAATACACATTCAAAAGAGTATACACATTTTTTGAATTAATATTAACTGTTTTTTTGCATATATTTGTTGAAAATTTAGATATATTAAATACATTTTATGCATATAATTGCATATTTTTATAAAATTTTGATTATTAACATCCGAGCTCTACTCATTAGTAATGAGCCATTACTAATAATCACATAATATTTTGTTAAACACAATTTTTTTTGTTGAGACTACACGATTTCGACTAGAAATATTGCTTTAATCATCATAATCATAAAAGATTTCTGATTGAAAAATGTGTCTATCTGGTACTTAGAAAGAATGTTATTTTATGAATTTCCCAACTGTTTTTTTAACAGCAGCAAAAAAACAATGAAAGTCATAATATAGTCATAAATAAATAAAGTCATAAATATACTGCATGATAGTTTTAAACTAAATCAAATTTTTTTCGTCATTCAAAAATTAATTTTCGTACTTATATAAAATGTTCACCGAATGTTTATATCACCGTTTGTTATACATGGATTTAATTTCAAAATGTTCAAAATGTTCAAATGTTCTTAACTATTTATATAAAATTGCAATTTTAATGTTTTTTTCGAAATATCTATAAAATCATTTCGGTTTGCCAAAAAGTCGAGAATTTATTATAAATTTCCTTAAAAATGTATATTATTGATTAAAGAAGAACATTGAGCTCAATATGTATAAAAAAAATACAAGTGTTTAATTATAAAATGTTGACGAAACGATAAGTCATGAACATTATTAAAATAAGTACATCACAAATAAGTAATAAGATTACAACATTATGTATGTAAACTAAATCTAAAACATTTAATATATTAATAAAAATATGTGCGTTAGTGGTTCATATTTTTTAAATTATGTATTCACCTTGATAATTGAGTATTAATTAAAACGTGAACATACGATAATCAGCGAATTTCAAATGTACAATCAGTATATATGCATAATGATATTTTACTGCTCTTAGAAATGGCAAAACAATTATAATTATCAAAAACTGTAAAATTTGTAATTTTTAAAAAAAAACCAATACATATTTTTGTACACTCATAATAGATTTGAAAACATACAATACGAATTATAATAATACGGAATGCTGATAAATGGTTAATCTTTGTATTCTGTATATTACAGTTAACAAAAATATAAAACAGGTATTTCCTTGAAAAACTTAAT